CGTATGTCCAAGCCGTTCCTGAAACAAAGCAGTGTCTGTACAACCTTCACGGAACATGGCTGGTGCCAGTCTTGGTTTCGCGCATGCCCCTCAGCTAAGCCACACTGCGCTTGGAATGCGGCACCATCTGTGAGGAGTGCAACACAGATTGCGCCACCGGTCACAGGCTTCCTGAAGGCATCTAGGTCTAGGCTGTTTGGGATATTCGCACTGCCAGTTCATAGTCACGCCGCATCTGCTCTTTCCAGATTCTACTGTCCTTTGTGCTGCGCGCTTGGGCAAGGTGGCAAATTCGGCCATCCCACCGTGGCCAGCCCGAAATATTGCCACTGAAATGACCACAACTTGGACAAGCATTGCTGATTCGAGTCCTGCCACGGCTTTCATGGTGGTGGGTGCTCAAATTGTCGCAGTGGTCATGCAGCACCGGTCCAAAGCCGCAATGCCCGCACTGATGTGCACCGGGCAAAGCTGCTTTCATCTGATTTGCAAGCAGCTCCTCCGACAGGCCTGGCACCTGCCGCTCCCATTCTGCTGCCAGCTTGCTGAGCATCTGGTTTGCCTTCGCATGCTCTTCTGCACGGATTTGCTGTCGCTGCAGGGCCATATGTGTGTCAAAGAGCTCTGAAGGCAAGTACTTGGCCATTGTCTGCTCGCTGAAAGAACCGTTGCAACAAGCATCGGCAGGCGCTCTGCAGGGGCACAAAAGAAAAGCACCCCGTTGACGAATCACAGCCTCTGGCTGGTCTTGCTCCGCACGAGCATACTTCTCAAAGCATGATGGACACAAGGAATGTGTGCCTTGTGAGCATACTGGCGCCTGGCTTTCAAGCACAGCTTCGCCGCAACTCACACATTTGCTATCAACTATCAACTTGCTCTGCAGCGTTGCAAGCGTAGCTGCAAGCGGAGTTAGCAAGTGCAAACTATCTTCAGCTCCGAATTTCGCATGTAAACCTTTCAGGCCGAAGCATATTGCCACCAATTGTTGAGAATTCACTTCGTCAGCAGCACGAATTATGTTAATGTTTGCCTTCAGTCGAACTGCATGCACACGACCTGCAGCTGCACCAGACGACTCGGCCTCGTCACACGCCTCGTGCATTTCGACTGCGTCGCCTGAGTGTTCAGCAGCCGCCAATCTTCGCAAAGCTCTGTGAATCATGCAAGCCTTTTGCCGAAAAGCCTGCACATGCTGTTCGTGCACACCTGCAGCTTCAGCATCACCACAGGCTTTCTCTATTTCATTTTCATCGGGCTCACATAGAGTGGCAAACCTTCCCAGCACACTGGCCATGTGACGAACTGCAGGCACACCAGTAGCATTTGCACCAGAGGCTTCAACCTCATCACATGCCTTGAGCATCTCGTCAGGATTGGCAGCTTCTACTGCAGCGGCCAACTTTGTCTTTGCATTCCATTTTTTGCGCCCCCTGTGCAAACCAAACCACAAGCCAGTTGCACAAGCCAAAATGTCGAGCACCATCTTGCGCTCGACCCCAAGCTGCAGGATCTGCAGGTGTCAGGATTAAATACAGCCTCCGCGGGATTCCCTAGGGGTGCATGTACCATCATGATCATGATGTACATTTGAGCCCAAAGGCCATTAATTATGTAGAAAGCAGCTTAAAGCCCAAGTAGCCACTATTCAGGCACATGGATTCTTAGGGATGTCCCGGTGCACCATCGTCGATTGTGGTGGATGCCCATGTTGGGGTGACACGTCCGTTCGCGGGTCGGGCTGGGAGTGTTTCTGGCTGTTCCTTGCTGGGACTCTTTCTGCAAGTTTGATGTCAGTTCAATTCTGCTCAGTTTTGACCCAGTCGACAAGCAGGATGGGAATGTCACCGCCAAGCTGCGGCCCGAGGAGGATTCCAATTGCGGTAGTTTTTGGAGCAGTGCTGCGTCGGATAACGTCATGTCAAGAGGACTCACAGAGGGCGAGGAGCCGGAGCCGGCGTTGAGGTGCAGTGTCCCTGCAGGCCGTGGACGACACACCATTACTGTCTGGTGCTTAGTAGAGCGTCATGTTCACGTGGAGCTGCTGGCCTCTTGGACTCAGGATGCACAACTTAACGATGTGAACGACTTGAAGACAGACCCGGCCTCGGTAATATTTTCCAGGGGCCTTAATGATTAGGGTAGGGTTTTGGGGTGTATAGTAGACTATAACTAGAAGGGGGAACCCCCAAAATAGTATTGGTAAGGGATTGCGATAGTTGGAGTTTCCGAAAATTCAGGTAACCTTATTTTGGGGTCCTTATAACAAGGGTCCTACTATTTAGGGTACTATATTAGGGTCCCCTATTTTCGGAAACTCCCATGTGACTACAGTCTGCTGTGCTAAGCCGCTGGCAGCCAGGCCATGCAGT